TGTAAGGGTGCCGCATGAGCTAACGAGAAAAACGCCATGAACCCCATTTCCTTCTGCGAATCACTGCAGAATCGTCAAAAAATCGAGCAATTTCTGAAATGGATGGTAATTGATGATGAAAAGTGGATCTTTTCTAACAACGCCAAATGACAATGATCGTGGTCAAAGGACAGTGAGCCGGCACAAGCTATCTCTAAGCCAGGATTGTGTGTTTGGTGTAAATGACAAGGAATCAGTCACTATGAGCTGCTTCTCTACGTGCGAACTCTTGATTCGAACCTGTACTGTTAGTATTTGGACCGTCTGAAGGAAGCAATCGGCCATAAGCGCCCAGATTTCCCAGTACAACGCCAGACCACACACATCGATAGTGACTCGCCAGAAACTCGGAGTGCTTGGTTGGAGGTTCTTATACACGAAGTAATAATTACCATCTGTTCCTGTGTATGATTTGGCCTCAAGAGAAATCAGTGAAAATCGTCGTTCATTCCAATTTTTTTTGCCATTAGACTTTAGACTTTATTGTGTCTTCAAATAAACGCAAAAATGATGGATAATATTTTACTTAGCCTAATATAACATTTCATGCACATGAAATGTATAAAAGTGAATATTCGCCACGAGGTTGTTCTTAACACTAATGAGCGAGCTTCTTCTTTATAAATATCTTTAGTTCATTGCTGCTTGGTCGTAAAATTTTCAAATGTTCAAATTAGTCCTGCAATATATTCATAATACGAGGGGATTAACAAAAGTTCGGTAAGTTGATCAGAAAAAAAATTGTGTTCATTCGTAATCATTGCCCTTTCTTATATTCTCTACATAAACGCTATTGATTTCAGATCCACTTTTGAAAACAGTTTTCAAAATCTTGATTTTTAAGCTTATCAAGTTCAGCATAAACCGCATTAATAATTAATTGCTATTAAAGACCTTTCCTTTTGATTTTTTTTAATTTTTGAATTAACCAGAAATCGTAAGGTGCTATATCCGGGGAATATGGTGCTGGACGTATTAGATCCCAGAGATTGCAATAAAACTACTTGCTCTTTCAGCAATGTGGGATGGCGCACTCTTCGGTGCACCATTTTGAAGTTACCGCTTGACCTTTTTCCAGTGGAATAGCAGCTACGATTTTAGATCGGGTAAAGTAAACTGATATCAATCTTTTGGTGCTGAGTTTTGTTGCTTGGATTTTACGTGGATTTGCTCCTTTTGGGCTCTATACCATGGACTGCTGTTTGGCTTCTGGGTTGTGCTAATAGAGCCAAGTTTTTTTTTACCAGTAACGACTTTCCTAAAGTCTCTAGACTGACCATTTTCAAATTCATTTAGGAAAAATGTAGCAAAATGCACTCGAGCTTCTTTTTGGGCCTCATTTAAAATTCGTGGTACCCAACGAGCAGATTTCTTCGTGTATACCAGATATTTACTTAATATTCGCGATACAGCCATGGAACTCAAGCCCAATTCATTAGCAATAATTTCTTGTGTCAATTGTGGGTTCTCGTCAAGTTTGGATTTTAACAGAGCTGAAGTGACGTCATCACTGGAATGTTTTGATCGACCCTCTCGGTGCTCGTCCCCTACGGATAAATTTCCGGTTTTGAATCTTCGGTCTCTAAAGATGATGCTATCGTTCCACACACAGTTTGGCATTCACCGAATATTTGTGTTCGCTCTACATTGCGTCGAAACCCGAAGAGAATCACATGGCAAATTGCTGTTTACGTCGATGATGGAATTTTGTCTGACTTATCCTCAGCTATCTTGTGTTTTCTCGTCTCCATTTCAGTTGATCGTTCTAAAATTTGACAGAGGGACTAATTAAGAAATTGCAAAGAATTTTGTTCTTCTAAAACAAAATGAAAGTCATCAACTGACCGAACTTTCGTTAATACCCTCGTATAAGACTATAAAAAGTATTTAAAATAAAAACACGTGTTGCTATTTTAAGTAACAATTCAGTTTGTCTTTTAAAATGTGAATGTTTATGAACATACATAAGTTTACCGCTACATAAATGAGCTATTAATAATACCATATTCTATTCTTTGCTGACTTTTTTGCTTCTGTTTCCATTTTTTGTTCGAGGCGTTGGCGCTTTAACTTTAATTTCTCCCTCATTCAAATTAACCAACATGGATATATTACATATAGTTATATTACATATGTATATATGTATGTATGTATTCATAGCTGGCAACCAAAAATAATCGATATTATTGAAGTGAAGCGCCGAGGATGCTCCAAATGCCATAAAATGCCAACCTATTAATCCAGCTACGAAGGTTTACAGGCGCTCACTTGCGGACATCGCACATACGTTTTATGTAAATGATTTTAATGCATGAATGTGTGTTGGTTGCACCGAATTGTGTTTGCGTGGGCGTTAAAATCAAAACTGACAGTCAATATTTTCTATACAAATTTCCTGGTAGCGAACAATGATGGCGCAAAATATGCGAGCAAGAAAAGAAAAGAGGAAATATGCCAATAAATGCATACATACACGTACAAGCATACAATGTGAGAATATGTATCGTACATAATATGTATAAATGAATGTACTTCATATTTGATGAATCAAACTGTATGAGCTACATATGTATATACATAAGTATGTATGTATATTGAAAGCGAATCCCTCTTTGTATCTGCGTGCATTATGATAAGAAGATTTTTATGCGGAATTTGTTATTAGGTCTCCTTATCAACACAAAAATACGTGCACAGCAATGTATGTACATATGTACGCACTAATATTAGCAAGCCTAAATTACGGTATTAATATCAAACTCACGCCCTTTGTTAGTTGACAAACAATCACGTATACACACTTAGATATATACTAAATGAATTATGATAATTACTTATACATAATACATATTGGAAGATGAGAAGTTAGGTTAGGTTGAACAGGAGTCTCATCTAGCTGACACTACGTGCATAGTATAACCAGGTACACTACATACGACCAAACTGCTGTATTGCTCTTTATTATGCGCCGTGATAGCCGAGTGGTTAGCATTACGTACTGCCACTCGGAAGGCAATGGTTCGAGACTTGGTCCGACCAACATTCAAAAATTATAGAAAATAAATTTAAATAAAATATTCAGTTAATTTATACAATTGCGGTTGCCCCTGGGCAGGGAGTGTAGCTCCACGTAAAAATCCATCGGCAGTATGGAGTCGGTTCAAAATATATTGAAGGTCCCTCCATTTGTTGGAAAATATCAAGACGCATACCACAAAGCGCTTGGTCGAAAAGCTGTTATAAGGCGTTTATCATATATAATTTGAGTAATAATACAGACCGGGTGCTGGTATTACCTCTTGCGGACCATTGTCTAGCTAAAAAAGGCAAGTAATGGTACCTTTGATGCAATGGGCGTTAAAGATGATACAAAACCTCTCTAAATGAGCTGAGACTGGTCGGTTTCGCTCGGATATGGTCGTCTTTGGCATAAAATTTGAGGACGAAAGCTTTCATAAACACACCTCTTGATCGCATTTCTGGTCTCCTATTAAGAAATCACAGTTTTACGACACCAACACATCCTCAATCAGAATTAACAGTCGTCTGAGATGCCAGATAGACACATTCTGTTATTTCATTTATTTACTGTGAAACAATTCGAGCTCTGGTTTCTTTCTCCAGATTCGAAAGCAAGGTGAAATAAAGGCTCTTATAACGTCTACAATAATGTCAACAATATTTTCGTTATTTCCAGGGTTTATTACGTCGAACAATAACCAGACAACAAATGGCTCAACCTATTATGTCAGAAGCGTTGACCATTACTACAACCGATGAATAGCAGCAAACCTTCCTCTGCAAGTGAAAGCAGGAAGAGGAAAACTTCTCCTTTAACTGAATGCTAAAATCTTCCAATCAAAGAACCGTCGTAAAGTTGGTGCACAGAGTACCGTTGAGCGTGAAAGTATGATACGTTTGACGTCCCAATCGGCTGAACGCTGGGCTAGCTTAGAGCTAGCAAGACCTTGATTTCTTCACAATACACTCTTCACCAGCGCGAGCCAGCTCATCCTCCTTTATGCCATCTACATTCGTGTGACCTAGGAGCCAAGTGATATTTACTATGTTACATACTTGTGTACTTCTTTGACATTAGAACTATACTTCTATGCCTCCTTCACTTTTAGACCCATGAGTATACATAAAAAAAGTCTTTATTATTCTTTACTGGCGTAGACACCGCTTACGTGATTATAGCCGATTTACAACAATGCGCCATTCTTTTCTTCTTTTTGCTGTGTGGTGCCAATTGGAAATACTAAGTACATCCAGGACCTTCTCTACCTGGTCTTTCCAACGGGGTGGAGGTCTTCTCCTTCCTCTGCTTCCACCGGCGGGTACTGCATCAAAAACTATCAAAGCTGGAGTATTCGCATCCATACGAATCACATGCCCTAGCCAGCGTAGCCGCTGCTCCTGTTGGCAAGAGTGATTCGGCGCTGGATTTCTAGGCTGAGACTTCACTATTATCAAAAGCAATAGTTTCCGCCCAAACTACCCCACTTGGAAAGAAGCAAGTGGCTTGCTGCTGCAACCATGCTTTTTACGGTGAGGGACTGCATCCTATTAACTAGGATGTTGGGCTAGCGGCTAGCTGTTAGTGCGGGTTCATATGTTGTACATAATAGCTTCACTTAGCTTTGTTTGTTTTTATATTACTACAAGCAGTACCTACGCCAACTATGCCGAAGAAAATAGCGAATTGAGGACTTTGTTAGTTAGTTCCTCGCTGTATCCTTTTTTCAAAAAAAAAAAATATATATCACGAAACAATTGCCTTAATTAAAGTGAGATTATTCGGTTTTCTTATCAACAATAATAACAGTAATTGGCGACCACTTTACTATGCGTTCTGTATTTACTTTGTTGCACGTAATAGTATTTGCATTGAAATTATTGTCCACTTGCATTGCAGATTATTTTTGTACTTCCTTCTTGTTCATTCTTCCCTCTTTCAGAACGACAATTTGAATAATGCCAAGAAAGTATAGCACATTTCCAGCGAATATTAAATGCCATTTGCACATAATTGGATTATTTGTGCTTTAATATAGAAAAGGCAGATATTTGAAGTAAATTAATTTGGTTCATTGGAAAACGAGGATCTGTATGAAACACAAATAACTGACTTCCTTAACTGTTGGGCCATTAGTAAACAAAGTAAATTAAAGAGAATGGCAGTGGCAAATATTGATTATGATTTTTTGATGAAATTTCTTGCACTCGGCGATTCTGGTGTGGGTAAAACCAGCTTCCTATATCAATACACAGATGGACAATTTCACTCACAATTTATATCCACTGTGGGTATTGACTTCCGGGAAAAGCGTTTGGTGAGTACACTTAAAAATTTTACATTTCGTTTTTCTCCTACTTCTCGCAATGTAGCAGATTATTTCAAGTATTTTTTAGGCACTTTAATTTAACAAAACATCACATGATTTACATTAAGCAGTTGTTATTAATAAATGTTTAAAAGTTTAGAAATTATTAATTAGCTGTAGAAACAGGAAATAATGACTTTTAAACTGTCAAATTTGCAACTAAAGCTATAACAGGGTGACTCAAATATTTAACAAGAAAATTAAAGAGGTGTTCATTAGCAAATGATTTGGATAAGAATTAAAAAAATATATATATTAATCATTGAAAGTATGCAATTTTAAAAAAGATAAAAATATATATTACACATACGTACATAAATTTAAGCATCAATCAAACAATGTGTAGGTAATTAAGACCAATTATTTTTTGGACATATTTCTCTATTTGAAATATCGCTAGATCTATACATATCGTGGACGCAATCATCGCATACATCTGCAACTTTGGGATACTGCCGGACAGGAACGTTTTCGTTCATTGACCACTGCCTTCTATCGTGATGCGATGGGCTTTCTACTCATCTTCGATTTGACCAACGAGAAATCCTTCCTTGAAATCAGTAATTGGTTAGAACAGTTGCGAATGCACGCTTACTCAGAAGATCCTGATGTGGTATTATGTGGCAACAAGTGCGATCTCGATGCTGTGCGTGCGGTTAGTCATGAACAAGTGCGTGCTCTATCCCACCGCTATGCATTACCGTATATTGAGACCAGCGCTTGCACTGGTTACAATATCAGGCAAGCAGTGGAAATGCTTGTGGAGCGTGTTATGTTGCGTATGGAGAATGTAGCAACAAATGCAGAACTAACGCGATTGATGACACAAACACGTTGTATGCCCAATATAGGTTTCCCGGGCGGTGGCGGTGGTGGTGGTGTTGGCGGTGGCAATATAGTGCGCTTAGGTTGTAAAGATATGGAGTTGACTGAGGAACAACAACAGAGTCGAAATTGCAAATGTTAAATAAAGAATTTTCATCTCTACAATTTAACTGAATACTCTACGCATAATTGCTGTTTGGTACAATAATTTTTAAATTTATTTATATATATGTGTGTGTGCAAAAGTTGTATGGTTTTGGAAAACTGCTTTTTCTAAAAAAAAAAACAAAAATAAAAATAAAACACAGATGCCAATGTTATTACAAATTTAATGATTACAAAAATTACTGCTCAATTACTGTAATAGTCGCTGAAACTTATATGTAATTGTATATATGTATTCTTAAATGTAAACAATTATATTTGTAAAGATTTTAAAAAATATATTTACATACATACATATATGGATAAACAGTTGCTGTGAAAAGAAAATATAAAACATAAATACATTCATACATATATATTCTACTTAAAATAATCATAAAATCGTTTATTTCAATTCAAAAGAAAACCCGTTGCAAGCGTCAAACTTAACGTTACAAAGCCCAATTTCGTACCAAATGTCGCCGAAGCATTGCGGCTATCAATCCAATTACGATAATAGCTGACATTTGAGTAAACGCCTGGAAAGCCAGGCTGCGCACAACCATTACCCCAAGATACGATGCCGACGAGTTCGTTATCACATACGAGTGGACCACCAGAGTCACCTTGACAGGAGTCAGTGCCGCCAAGCAAACTACCAGCACACAACATGCCGCCGGTGAGTCCCTGGCCATAAGAGACCTTACATATGCTTTGCTGTATAATGCTTACGTTGGCCATCATTAGGCTACTCGAGAGATAACCCTGTGGCGAAGATTTAGATTATTTTTTTTTTTTAATATTCAATACAATGAAGCCTCAAGTAGCACTACTTACCGACGAGGTTTTACCCCAACCTGACACCTGACACGTAGTACCCGCCGTGGTACTAGAATTACTCAATACAATCGGTTCAATCGTCAAATGTGTTTGATTCACCGGCAGCCCTGTCTTTAAGAACATTAAGCCAACATCGTCGAGCATTGTATCCAGACTGAATGAGTTCATGTAAGTAATCGAACTGACATCCGAAACAATAGTGCCATTTACACGGGTGTACCGATTTTGAGTGCCCATGACCACCGTGAATTCTTTCGCCTTGCGGTAGCGCTTTCTATCTGAACTGAACACATAAGCTAGTAATTAGTGCCTAATTTTCCATTAAAAGAAACTTTACTCACTTGTACAGGCAATGCGCGGCTGTTAGCACTTTATTTGGTCCAATTAATGAGCCGCCACAAATATGTCCATTCCCGAATACCCGATCATATTGTTTCAGACGTATGGATACTTGAAATTTTGTTGCCGATATAGGCGCTTCTACGCCATTTATAATGCGCGGATCGATATTGGAATTATTTTGTGAGTGAGCTAAAGAGAAAATTTGAATTTAGAAGATTAATTAAAAAATATTGCAATTTAGTTTAAATTAAAGAGTTCACAGGACGTCGTATTCATGTTAGGTACAATGAACGCAACTCCAGAGTGGGCAATAAACGGAAGTAAGGTACAAAAATCGAAAGACCTATTGTAGTTTCCAAAGGCCCTAAATGGCCCGAACTTTAGCACTACTCCAGCCTGCTTATAGTAAAAGAGTAAAAGTGAAAAATACTCAAAGATGGCGAGCCCGTTTCCCTAAAGGATGAGGATTCAACAGATGTTTCCTAAAGAGCAACAATCTTGCAGGGGCCAATAATCTACCAGCTGAGCGTTCTAAATAAAGTGGCGAAGAAATGACCAACAGACCAAGACACGATGAAGGCACGAGATGTTCGGTACATTGTTGTTGTAACGAGTTTATTTTACAGGAGATTCTAGTAACGAGCTTCGGACCAGAGGCAGAGGTGTGCCGGTAAAAATGTAGCTAGCGTCGATCAGGAACTCATTGCATACAGGACATATGATAGGTCTAGTCTGATTGCGCCAGTATTACTCGAGTTTTAGGAGGCAGCTCGTGTTCTACAGAACTCACGGAATGTTAAGTTTCGCAGGTGTTAATGGAGCCTTTGTGGCGTTATAGCCTGTCGGTATGTCGTCCTCTAATGAAGTTTTGTTCTGTGCTGTATAAAGTCCTTAAAGTTGATGATTCCCTTCCTGATGTATCTAGGCAGCTTCTTGTAGTTGTCCACTGATACGGTAATCAAAGCGGTGGTTTGTTGTACTTTTAGCACTTTCATTTGCATTTCCGACTAGCGATTTCAGCTTTTTGTTGCGGCTTTGCACTGAAGTAGCAATCGTAATCATAAGCGGTCTGAAGGCCTGCAGGCTTTCGAAAGTGACTTCCAGAAGTTTGAGAATATTATTGTCGGAAATTTGATGTATCCGATACAGTTCGGGCTGGTACTTCTTTGTCTAAAATGGTGAGACGGGAACTTACTATCGAATAAAACGGGGAGACTAGGCCAACCTGCGGAATTCTTCGCTTAATTTTTCAGAATTTTGTATTTTAAATACAACAACAGAAGCTACGCTGAAAAATTTATTCGGATCCTCTGCAGGCTACGGGCTTAAGAATTTACCCGTTATAAGGCGTGCTTGTCGTAAGAAGAGGCTAAAATCCAATAGTTCCCGCGACAGTCAGGTCTTTATATCGGACTTTCACTCCCGCAATTTTCTTCGAAAACCAATTCGGGGAATATTTTACAGTTAAAAGACGAACAACAACTAATTTATTCCGTTCGAATGAAAACACTCCTTCTTAGAAAATGGGTACAGCTGGTGGAAGCGGAGTAAGAGAAAGATCTCTATACTTTTGGTGAGATCGGGTGAAGAAGGACGTGGTTGTTTATATGTTATATTTATACATACTTATACATAGATATGTGTATGTGTAGAAGGTCGAATGGTATGCCGGGTAAAATAGTTTGATAAAAATCCAATAACAGTGTTTGAATCATAACATCATTGAGTGTTTCTATGTTTCATATATTTCTTATTTTTGCCAAGACATTCACTGCCTTTGATAAGATAAAATGTTGAATTTCTGTTATTTGTCACAGATATTGCTATTGATATTTCTTAGTAATTGATCTTTTTGAACCTCGTTTCGTATACATGAATATAGTGATATTTTTCTTCACGATGTATTGGTGGTAAACTAAGTCATTAAGCAAATATTTACGTATATACCGATATGTTCATTTTATATATTTTATATTATTATATTTTTTGTTTTGTAACTCATATTTCAAATGTTTTAACACTTTTATATTTTAAAATATTTCCTTTTAAAATTTGCATTCTTCTTTGAATTTCAAATTTATTTTTAGTTAGTTTAGTTAGTGGCAAAGTGGATTGCCATTCTCGAGAAACAATCATTTCAACTATTTAGCAGATGTTTAAAAATTTAATCATCTACCTTCTTTTCCATTATTTTTTCTACAAACAATTTTAATTTCACTCATTTAAATTATAAAATAACTCAGGCGAGTTTGCTTACATTCTTCAAAAATCACCAAAAACACAATAAAAAATAGACTAAGAAATTTCATTATTAAAATGTGTACGGTTTCCAAAATTCTCCTACTAAAACACACCGACGAGATTGTTTTATGTGCGCGGTTCGAATACTGATTGAGTAGCAACTGTCAATTACTGCTCAGATTTTGTACTTGCCAATAGCGGTAAACAATTTTGACACAAAAAAAAAAAAAAAAAAAAAAATTGTGATATTTTTTTATCAGTAAAAGGCAAGGGCAGGAGAGCTATGATAACCATTCAATAACGTAGTTAATACATATATATATATGAAATTCGATGGGCTGATTCACAAATTATCGAGCAATATAAATAATTCTTTAAACCTTCTAAGAGTAGAAAAACAATAACAAATTATAATTTTTTTTAGTTAGTTAAAAAGAGTATTTGAATAAATTCTATCATTATGTAACTATGTGCATATCTTTATATCAAAATTACTACATTTCTTAAGGCCAAAACTTATCTTTCATACTGCCATCAATTACTTTCATAGGCCATAAACTACATTCAATTTTGTACTGTCACCTGCAATAGCAATTTATTTCAGCCTTAATGAATAAATCTGATAAAAATTCGGAACTAAAATTTGTATTAAAAAAAAGTGTCTCTATTAAACTTTAATAAAATTAATATTCGAACATACAATAAGTTTGCATTACTGCAGCATTGCACTATAAACTAAAATACAATTTTATTTATTTATATTATTTTTATGTATTACAAATGTGGATGTATAAAAATTTGGACGGATAGTTAATTACTGATATTGTAATTTTTGTTGGTCGTTTTTTGTAAATATTCGACGTACAAATACAAAATGTGTTTTTTTTATATGTATGTATATAGATATGTATAGCATAGTGTACATAGTTAATTTCTGTAGTGATTAACTACAAATCAATTCAACTATAAAACTAAGGCACTTTATCGTTTGACTTCTCTTAATCCAAACTTCAAAATATATCCTTATCGATGTGTAGTTTTGGTACACACAAACGACACCGGACGGTAAGTTTCAAATTTAATTCACGCAAAGGTGCAGGAAAAACCAAAAAAAAAATCGTATTAAATTTGTGAACACTCACTTAAAATCTAGTAGAAAGTCGTAAAATGGAATATTCTTGGTAAATTGTAAAATGACACCCCATTTATACGAGGCTCGTTAGAGACAAACTATAGTCGTCTTTTCCATCTTATATGTAGCCATGTAGACTGCGAGAGGTACTGTGATGATGTCTAGGTGGTTGATAGCCAGGTTCTTGCATTTCCATTTGCATAACCAAGTTTTTCTGTTCTCCACGTAAATCATAAGCATGGCGTGCCTCCCGATGTAAAATCAAAGCGCCCAAACCGAGTGCTATGAAAGATACAACAGCTACTGCATAAGACCAGCCGAGTACATTAAATTTGGGATACATAAGCCAATCACGACGGTAGGCACAACCACCGAAAATGCATACTCCAATAAAAAGTAACAATGCTGAAAAAATTTGATTTGGTTTAATTAAGTATATGGTAAAACAAGACTAATTTAACTTACAAGAACTGGCCGTACATAGATAAGCGATTCGTATCATCAACCATTCATATTGTAGCACACCTTTTAATGGCAAACGTATGACAACAAGTGCTAATATGGCTAAGGCCGTAAATGTTAAAAGAAAAGCCAAAGTAACACATGCCTGAACAGCCATTAGCCAACCTGGTAGCAAATACTCTCTGATAACATAATATTCCTGAAAGACAAGTGACATAGGTTAGTTGCTTCTATAAATATACATTTTATTACACAAGTACAGGTAAGAAATTATACTTACGTGACTGAAAATATTGTGGCAACCATTGAATTGTCGTGGAAATTGATAATATGGATATACAAAATTCTTAAAACAATATTCCCATAAGCCCATATTCTTGAAGCTGCTGTGTGTTTCCTCATAAGACTCAATCCAGTACGGTGAACAAAACGCCATCATGAGAAAGAAGTAGGCCACAAAAGTGACCACACCGCCAATTACAACGCCATCTAGTAAATAAATTAGTATTATTAAAACTATGCAAGCAGCTATGTAAATTGTAATGTAATTTTAAATTAACAACAACTAATTGGTGATTCAGTATTTAGGGCTGCGGCTGCAATTAATTGATGTACAATGCAACGCATCTTTGCTTGTCGAGACTCACTTGAAGCTCGCGGATATTCGCCTTTTTCAATGCTGGTATCCGTAGTATCTTGCGACTGTTGTTTTGCAAAATTACGCATCTTTTCAATTGTTTTAATTTCGATGAACCACTTATTTCTTTAATAACAATTACAAGAATATATACAATTGTAAACTAAACAAAATACTATTGTCAACACACATACGCAGACTTACGCTACCCTAATAAAGGTGTGGACAAATTTGACAGTTGCAAACGTCAAAAATAAATTCCAATTGGTAATAAACAGTTTTGCAGCCATTGCGTTGTCAACAAACTGTTGCGCGAAAAACAAATATAAAACTGTTACTGTTGTGTGAAAGAATAATTATTAGTCATTATGATCTAATCTGATTGACTTGAAGGTGTGTAATTAGAATTGAAAATTATTTCGAGTACAACGAAGTTTTTTAATTTATTTGCATTTTTAAATACTTAGCGAATATTCAACACAAACTTTAAATTATAGTTTTTACAAATAACACAAATTGTCTGCAAATCTTAATTATAAAACTGTACTAAAACTAATGTAGGCTTGTTAAAAATTAGGCGAAAAACCTAAGGTTAAGGTTTAGCATCTTTCGATGCAAATAAACCATCCATTTCATCAACATGTTGATGTTCCAAATGTTTCATATAAGCTAGAAAACATGTCCACAATAAACTGCAAACACTGATGAAAGGCACACGATTCTTCTCTGGTACGACTGAAAAATTTATTAAGCCAACAACCGGCCAAATACACATCGCCACCTGAGGGGTCGAAAAAAAACCTTAAAAATTATAATTTTTAATTGCTTTTCCTCAAGCAACGTACCCTATATGTGGGTAAGAATTTCTTGCGCACCTCGGCGGCTGCCTCCTCCACAGTCTTCAACTCCAGCAGGCTCATTATGAAGTAAAAGCACGTCATGGCAGCGGGTGTGTAGGAAATCTGTTCGACAGCTGTTTTGAAAATAGCCGTTTGTATAGATGTTTGTGGCCACATAGCGCTCGATACTTTGATCCAACTGTAAAGGGTTGGTGCAACAAATAGGCCGCCATAGAGACTAAAGCGTAACGTGCGCCACCAATCGTAGTCAGCTGTAATATGAGAATTAAATTTAAATTCGAAGCAGGCGATTAAATATTAAAGGATAAAGGAAATTAGACAGAAATTATTCAAAAATATAAATAAATAAATAAATAACAATTAAAACAAAATACATAAAAAAAATTAGCAAAATTATTTACGCCATCTTTTTCCTTCGAAGGTCTGCTGTATGAGCGAACTTGTCGGCCAAATTAAGCTGTACGATACCATACCACGCGTCACTGGATAGCGCTGGAGCATTAGCTTAAAACGTTGTAAAATGGCAGCCATATTTGTGTTGTATACTTGTAAGTTTTTAATACAGATTTGTTATGTTTTAATACTTTTTTAAGAGTCACTATTAGTTGTAGTGGGCAGATTTTTTTTTTCAAAATTCATCAGACACTTGTGAGGGTAATATTAAGTTAAGTATTGTTTAGTTTATCAATTAGAAAATACTATTACATACAAATATATTTTGAAGATTTTTTTTGTTCTGTTTTTGAAGTGTTAAATGCCATTCAATTTTTAAAATAAACGTGAAAAATCATATTGATTTGCATCTTTTACACTAATGTGCAATACCGCAAACACTTCATGATATTGTCGCTTAGTTATTTATCTCTTTGTTTTAAAATGCTGGCCTTGATTTTGAAAAAGTCCAAGTGCAATTTTTACTTATACAATACCTATTAACTGTGACTTAAACTAAAAACTTACAAAATGTGCTTGCATTCGTTTTGCTTTTCTTACTTTTTTTGTCATATTAAAAAAAAACTACACCCACTTACTTGCATATACTACATTTCTATGAATATATAAATAACTTCACTGGAAATCGGTTTTCCACTTTATGCCTACTTATGTACATACAACATATGTATATAAGTATTTGTGTGCATTAGTAAAATACAATAAAAAAAATATCTAAATATTTTCTTATCAATATTCAGTTCAGACAAAGGTCGAGTATACGCTACTCCGCCCCATGATGCCGTAATTAACCCAAATTCGCAACTCTAACACCAATTATTTCTCGCAATATAAATGAGTTCTAATAGAACCAAAGGTTTGTTGCGTTTTGCTTGCAGTCATAAGTTAGTCGAGCCCTACAAATATGTCGCGTAGAATTAGTTTAATTTTTTACAGTTTAATCTTATTCATTAGTATAATTTATCGGAGTGATGGATTTTATTCAAGAATCGTAAATGGCTCACAAGCGAATGAGGGCGAGTTTCCGTTTGTGGTGAGTAACACAGATTGATGGTGGAGAGAAAGTTTGAGAGCAGCCGAAAATTAATGTGTTACAGTTTAATAAGCAATGTATAAAGAAAAAGAAAAACATTTCATAAGCTAGTGTTAATAAGCATAACATTTCAAGATATCAATTTCATATCAAATTCAAAACTGAATGTGCTTCCCCTCCATTATCATTCGGTAAAGGTATCCCTTCGTCGCGCGTCGGATGGTCGTCATAAGTGCGGCGCCTCGCTACTGAATCGCGTTTGGGCGCTAACAGCCGCGCATTGTGTGGTGAAAGCACGACCGGAACAATTGAATATTCAATATGGCAGTAATGAGCTACTTGCGCATAGCAACAAAGTGTCAAATATTAGTAAAATAATAGTGCATGAAAATTATCAACCGGGAAATTTGTATATGAATGATATCGCCTTATTGCGCCTACAAACGCCCATCAAATTTAGTGCTAAAGTGCGCGCCGTACATTTACCGGCAGCTCAACAGGAAACACCGGAAGCGTTGCCAGCAGTGTTGCTCGGTTGGGGTTTGAATGTGGTGAGTGTGGTGAAAACAGAAATAATAAAAAAATCCTTTTTCAATATTTCTCTTACCGTTTCCGCTAGACTGGTGGTGTCATACAAAAACATCTACAAAAGGTGCATATACAAACATTCAGTGATGAGGAGTGTAGTAAACGTCATGATACAGAATTACATGCCACAACTATTTGTGCCGGTGTGCCAGAGGGTGGTCGCGGTCAGTGCAGTGGTGATTCTGGTGGCCCATTAATGGTTAATGGCCAGCAAATTGGTATTGTTTCTTGGAGTCGCAAGCCGTGTGCTGCAGCGCCATATCCAGGTGTATTTACGGAAGTTTCTGCGTATGTGGATTGGATGGGTCAGATGATTGGAAGCGATCGTGATGATGGCGATTGGAGTGAAAGTGATGAGTCATGGGAAGAATTGACTACGGGGAATCTTATAATAGTGCGAAATTTAAGGGGTTTGGCGAGGTTGTTGAGTAAAGAAGTTGTTAAATAAAATGTGAAATTCTGTAAAAACATTGTACATATGTATGTATGTATGTAAAAATATATTTGTATAAAATGTAAAAATACAAAGTACTTTTTTTTTGTATTATATAATACACATCAAATTAAAAACATTGCAACAATGAAACTATGCACGATTTGATTTAAAGGCGATTAACCGTTTTCCAAGACATACACAGAGTACAGTGTAGCGGCTTTAGGCATCTATGGTGATTGCTCATGTAAGAATGAAAAATTCGCCCTCTTTTTTTAGTATTTCTTTTCCTCTTTTTTGGGGTATAATCATTATGAAATGGGCTTTAAAATGGTTGAGAACAAATAATTATAATATCTATCATCTAACAAATAGTAAAAACCTAGGCTGCATCGTAACGGTAAATTTCATGTCAATCGAATAACTTCTATAGTTTCGTTTGAGACATTTAGATCGTTAACAGATAATGTTAAATGTTAAAATAGAGGTGCGCTGTTAATAACACAGAGAGCAGCCATTTTAAAATTAACGCCAACGAAGAGTTTTGTGCGTTTTCAACATTAACGATGTTATTTCGTTGAGTTGATTTTTCTTGTTAGCGAAACGAAATGATATCGTTGAGTTAGTTGAGCATCGTTGGTAAAAACATTACTACCATAGGAGTTGTCTAAAGAGATTTATCGAATTGTTAGTAGTAGTTATCACACATCACGACATAGATATTCTAAAGATTAAACCCAAAAGTTTTAATAATTCACTGTTTAAAAAGTTGTTTATACATTTTTTTCTTAATATGTCTCATAAGGTTTCATTACGTCATCAAACGACGTTACAACACTTCTGTGCTGGTACTCTCATACATCCACAATGGGTATTGACAGCAGCACATTGCTTCACGTATACTAAAGATCCCAAAGAACTGCTGTTACAATATGGTTCAAATGCCTTACGTCCAAGTAAAAGGAAATTGGTCAATGTCAGTGAAGTCTTACGCCATGAAGGATACAGTCAAACTATAGCCATTCACGATATAGCACTTTTAAGGCTTGAAAAAGAAATTATGCTAGATAAAGCAGACCTGGCGTTGCTTGCTGTAGATGAATATTGTCGAGAAATTCCTGCCAGCAAAGAGTCACCATTACTCGTTGGTTGGGGCTTAAATGCGGTTTGTTCAAACGTTATTTAATTTTTGCATTTAAAATATTTTGTCAGTTATTTTTTCTACTATTTTCGTACGCAGACAGAGGGAAAATTACAGCAACAACTGCACAAAGTGGAGCTAAATTTAATTAACCGCACGAAATGCCGCCAACGAACACAATCCACGATTTATGGCACTAACTTGTGCGCAGGTGTAACCGATGGCACTGTAAAGGGACAATGCAACGGTGATTCCGGTGGTCCTCTACTCTTAAACAGAAAACAAATTGGCATTGTTTCGTGGAGTTTAAAACCATGCGGCTCTTATCCGGGCATATTTACAAATGTTGGCTGTTATGAGAGTTGGATAAATACTTATATAAAAAATAAAAATAAGTTTAATTATTAATTAATATTTTAATTTAAGAATATTTACACTGCTTGACAACCGATTAACACACACTCCAACCTGCCGATCGAAGATAGTCTGGACAGGTGGATGGAGGTATGTAGTTTTTTCAGATGAAAATGAGGTTATGGTTCGAGAAAGGAAGAGCGTACTTCAGTACTCTGGTACCATAACATGGAACTGCAATTACTAATTGGTTGTAAGAATGGCATATCATGCAAACATGTACTGAAAACGGCTTTCCATACAATCTGAGGCGTTTTTGGAACCTTGCACGCGAGGTGTACGAGTCTGGTACGCAATACACTACTGCAGCTTCACTCATTGAAGGAATAAAACCATTTTGGAAGGCTGCATAACTGAATTGCATTGAAATAATTTACGATTCCTTGAATAATCGTGGTCACACTAACCGTGCAGACTCAAGTCATTATTAGTACTTTAATAAATAAGTTAGAGCCGAAATGTGGGGAAGTTCTACCCCCGGGTATGCAGTACTACTACGGAGTTCGTACTCTTGCGTTCTCGCTGCATACACTGGAAACGTGTGAAACCTTTATGCGAGATGCGATAACCAAGCCATGTTGAGCCTCGGGCTACTGCTGAGAGAGAGTGAACTTTAGTGGAGTTTAGGAGATCACGAAAGTATTTTTACAGCGTTTGCTCATTCACGGCTGCAAGCAGGGGTCGACCATGAAGTAAGCGGCTTGCTGTATAAATTTGTACAAAATGTTAACCTACTTGCTTTGCGAGATAGAGCCTTGCATTTGAGACCCACTCCGTAGAAATCAATACCAATGCGAAATGGATAACAGCCTGGGATAGTAGACTACCATTTTGATGATAAGACTAAGGGCTTCCTGCAAAACTATACGCCTATGTTACTGATGTTAAGCAATACTTAAAGCTCTGTCGGGATCAGGAAGAAATTTTCCGAGTCGCAAGAGTTTTCAAATAAGATTACTCTATATAATGTATATGCTTTAATTTATTGTTGAAGAAAATAATGTGAGCTGCAGAGTTAAACACATATGTATTATTGAAAAGTAAAGTCCTCTCTCAACCAACCAATAACAAACTCTGCAAGATCCTCATCATTCCGTACTGCTATGTAGTACGGAGACCTGGCCGATAAGAACATCTGATAAGTCGGTATAGAGAGTTCTCGAGAGAAAGGTTTTGAGTCGACGGAACGAATGAAGAGACAGTTCATGCCATCCAAATAAATGGCAGCACTCGAGCTTTAAAAGTTTTTATTGCCAGCAAGCGATGGAAAAAGAAGACCTCCGCTTCGTTTGAAAGATCAGTGAAAAACGGGAAAAGCGATGGAAAAAGAAGACCTCCGCTTCGTTTGAAAGATCAGCGAAAAACGGGAATTAACGACGCGATGTTGTTAACTCGGCAATAATCGGAACATCATTATCTAAGCCAGTGAAGAAGAAGAATACAAAGAAGAAAAAAGAAGAAGAAGAAGAATACAAAGAAGAAAAAAGAAGAAAATTAAAAAGAAGAAGAAAAAAAGAATAAAAAAGAAGAAGAAGAGGCAGAAATAAGATGGAAAATATTAAGATTATTTAAAAAAAAAAAATATTTTCTATTTTTCTAGACCAATTATTAAAATTTTATTATTCTAAATATACTTTTTTTCTGGTGTGCGTAACTGTCATCCTTTTATCGAAAAAATTATAAAATTTTTTTTATTAAAAAAATCATAAATATTGTTTGTAAAACTCCCTTTATTCGTCGTTAATAATTATTTATAAATATATATACATGAGTAGCTAGGTACAAGTATTTTTTAAATAATTTAACACATATATATATATTTACATCCCTAGAGGTAGATTGCTTAATATTATGTATATTCTGCATGCAGTTTGAGGTAAGCGTATATAATCACATTATTCTTTTTAATATTCTAAATATAAGTACGTGTGTATAAGTTTGTATTTGCATTTGTATATGCAATACATAAATAAGTAATTGTATTTCAGTCATTATAGCGCCAAAACATTATTGGCTTTTGGTATGAAACTCTCATTTTTCGGCACTGATAAATGATGTTGGAATTGTTTTAGCTGTTGTCTGGGTTGAGCTTGCAACTGAGCCTGTTGCGCTTTCGCTTTATCGTTCATTCTATGCGTGTGCGATATAAATGTTAACCAGAAAATATTATAAAAACTGTTAAAGAAAATTCTTTTCGGTTCAGGTATTAAGCCGAAGTTAATCGTTTGCAGCAGTGGAATAATACAAATCGCAATCTGTAAGGAAAATAAAGAGTTTATTTTGTGTGGTAGCAATGAATTTAACATTAATGAAAAATATTTGAAAATGTTAACGTTAAAATAAATTTGATTTCGTTTTTACACCAAAGCAAAAGCTGGGATGAATGTTAAATCGTTAACAGATGATGTTAAATGTTAAAATTGAGTTGAACTGTTAATAACAGCGTTAACAGCAGCTATTTTAAAATTAACGTTAATACAGAAAGTGTGCGATTTTAACATTAACAATTTCATTTCGTTTCGATAACAAGGCGCCGAAACGATATCAAATTATTTTCCTAAGTTTATTTTTGATACTAGCAGACCATTTCGGTGTAATTTCTTTAATACTTACTTCGAGAGTTTTTGGAAATTTATCTTTAACCTCCTCAACGGCTCCATCAAATCCTTTACCTTCCAACAAGCTCATGCCGAAGTAGAAACTGGTGGTGGCAAAAGGTGCATATGAGATTTGTTCGACAGCGGCCTGTAGAATTATTAAATATATACATATGGATTTCAACACAAAAATCATTATTTAGAGTTGAATTTACCTTCAGTGCACCCACACGCAAATTCGTTTGAGGCCACATTGTTGAAGCACATCGCAACCAAGCATACAAAGTGGGTGCCACATAACAGCTGCCGAAGAGACCATAACGCAATATACGCATCCAATCATAATCCTCTGTTGTAGCGGTTGAAGATTGGATAATAATAAAAAAAAATTGTTTAAAATAAATATGATAAAATAAAATAAATAAATAAATAAATGTACTCACTAAAATCTTTGCCTTCGATTGTTTGTTGCAAGAAACAACTCGTCGGAAATACAACCGAATAACAGATAACACCTTTGGCAAGCGGATGAGCAGAAGCGAATATGCGCCATTTTGATTTTAGGAAATTAACTGTTGCTGGTACGACCATATTGTTGTTTGTATGTATGCGCGTGTGTGAGTGCGTGCGTATACACTAAATTTGTATAAAATATATATAAATACACATATACAAATAATTATCATAAAACTTTTGACCACGAAAACGGAAACGGAAATGCGTTGTATATACTGCAAGACGGAAATGCAGAAATATTCCACTATTTTTGTGCTGTTATTTCTTTTGTATCTCTTTTGCGGCGTTTAATAATTCGAAGGTCACTAGAGTAGAGCAGCGCAGCGCGAGCGACAGGCGTTAACCTCGAAAAATATTGGCAAGACTTTACATACACATGTATGTGTGTTTGTATGTACGTTTGTAGTGTATGTTAGCTTGTGGCTTTTAATTTGTAAACGATGAACAGCTGTATAGATTGCAGACGAGACGGCGCCGTTATTAAATGGCAATGTGTATGCAAGTGTATATACATACATACATATGTTTGTATGTACATTGTATGAAGAGCTAGCGTTACATAGAAGCTTTTGTGTGAATGATTGTTAAAATATTTGAGTGTAAAAGTTTTATTTTCATATCGCATATAGGATTTTGAACTTCTCAGGTATGTAAGAAATATATAAATTTTGAAAAAATATTCATTTTAATTATTTACCTACCTACAGTGCACATTGCATGGACAAGTGTGCCAAGAGAAGGGTGTGTACGTGAAAGCAGGCATTTTATTGAGTGCTATTGCTATTTCGAATAAACTTTTTTTTTAAACAATTTTTTGTTAACATGCAAATTATATATTATTTTTCAACATTTGCCCAACATTTTTATATTTTTTATTTTTATTTATTGATTTATTTTTTTTGATTTATTTTTTATAGTAATACAAAAATTTCTATTTTCTAATTACATACATATGATTCATTCATATATTTTATAATACTTCTTTTTCGCTTGAACACTTTTGCACTTTTTTTTCTCAAAATCAAGGCATTGCATTTGACACAACTATTTTTAGCGCTTGCATTTGCACATTGGACTGCAAAAATATTTCTTTTTCATTTGCTTTTTATGTAAGAAAATATTTTTTTTTATTTTAAAACACTTTCGAAACATATTTTCCAAATAATTACAACACCTATGTATGCGTGCGTATGTTTTGTTATTATAATCTTTTTCTGCATTAATTACAACTACTTTATGCAAATGTTCTTCGAAAACTACTGGCGAGATGTAATGCAAAAATCCCACATTGACAATGAAATTTAGGAGCTTTTCTATTATTTAGTGTGATGTAAAAACTACCGAATTACGTCTTTGTAGCTTTTTGTTATGCACATGCACTCGTGTGCATAGAAGTTCTTCAAAAGCTTTTAATTGCATTATTTAGTGATCTTCGCCAAGGGAATTCTGTATACATACGTCATGATATTGTATGTGTCATGACGCGTAGATCTGCGACAATGTTTACTTTATTTCGCTCGAAATTCGCCAGCGATTATAGAGAATTGGTAATTTTCAGTTGAATATGCTCAGAAGCAATAAGAGATGTGCGAGGGCGTACTTAAAGCGTCTCCGAAAATGTTGAAAAGAGCTTTTAAGATTGAAAGTATGGCGATTTTGTTCGTCTATAACACTTTTTCTACTTAATATTATGCAAAATTGTAGGGCTATAAAATCTAGCTTGGCAAAGGATTATTTATGTTTTAATTTAATTTTTTGTTTGAGCGAATAATAAACTAAAAGTTTGAGATTTCTGCGCTTAAATGCTTACTTCTTTGTAAAAAAATATGCAACGAATGTTCGATATGTGCCCACATTGAGAGGCAAAGGAATTGCGACTGATGAAAGTTTGCCTGCCACTGAAAGTTTACCTGCCACTGTATGAATTGTATCGCCCCAAACGATCCTCAAGTCAGTATTGACAAGAAAATTTTGTTGTGTGTTTGGTCTGATTGACAAAGAATTATTCACTATGACCTAAACTCTTAATTTGGATCTGTACTGCCAGCAATTTGAGCGTCTGAAGGAGGCAATTGCACAGAGGCGTACAGTTTTGGCCAAAAGTAGGGAATTGTGTTTCATCAGGACATGGCCAGATCCCACATATCGATTTCGGACCTCACACCATCGGTTCTTTTCTATGATGGATGATTTAGCTGGTGAAGAGAAGCCTGTGAAAATCGATTGTTTCAATTTTTCGGCAATTGAGTCAAGGGTTTCTATTCATACACTCAGTTTTTCATAAAGAAAAACCAATTATTTCATCATTTAAAAATATAACAAATCAGGCAACAGGAGCATGATGCATATCAGAATGAGTGTAATTAGTCTGATCTGCTTTCCCTACATAAATTTAATTAGTCCGGCAGTTTTAACGCCTTCGCGATAAGGTTTCCTATCAGTCGGATTGTCGGGTTCGGTGGTAATGTGAATCGGATGTGTGGCTTGGTGACACGCATTAAGTCGTTTTTTCGCTATCGAAAGTCATGCAGAAAATTTTCATATATGAATGTCTCGCAATAGCAGCTATCTCTCTCTCTCACTCTCTCTCTCTCAAGCCGATGTCAGAACTTTTGCGCCGCGTTGCCTGACAGATTGAGTTGGACATGCAATTAGACGAAGTTGCGCTCATAAGCCACGTCAGGATTATCTTGCAATTTATCAATTTTATAGCCAACTTTTTTTGTAAATAAAAATAACAAATTTAATAGTTTTTAAATGACAAAAGTAAGGGTTTCGCTTGGATTATCAAGAAGCAAATTTTTTCAACATTAGGGTTGAGTGATAACTGAAAGTTTGTATATACATATACATATGTATGTTCATGTCACATATAATTCGCGCTTTATGTACGCTGAAGCGATTTTTGGTCACTCGAAAGTGTTGAGATCAACTGCTGATGGGCGTGCGCAATCAGAAAAATTAATTTAAAATTAATTTCCGATAATTTTGGTTGTTGCTCTCGCCAGGAAAGCAAAGATTAATTTCTTCTTTTTTTTTGGTTCGATTAAAATAAATGGTATAAAATGTCTGTTGTTTTAGATGGAAGTGTGTCTGTACATATGTATATGCCAGCCATTGGCACACGTCGAATGATACGATTATCAAAAATTGAATAATTTTAATGATTGAAATTTGTTTTTTGCTTTCACTCAAGCTACACATAATATTATATTTATTTAATAATTTTATAATTTTTTTTCTAGAAAATTTTTGAGTTAAAAGCAATTTTTGAAGACAAGCAAATGAAATAAAAATACTTTAAAAATGTCAATAATTAAAATTAAATAGTATAATAAAAGCAATAATAATGCATATATACATATATTTATTTTATTTATATAAAAAGTGACAAAATATAAAATCAATATGAGCTTTAATTTTTTTTGCAGTTATTTTTGAGAGTTTGAGTGAAAATATTATAGGAAAAGCACAATATTTCAAAATAATGTTTTTATTGTATTTACATATACGTCTGTATATTGTTTCTATTTTTTCTTTAGCGGAAGTTATGGAAATTAGTAAAAAATTGTGTGCAAATTTTGTGATCTGGTCACCTTAATCTTTACAAAATTTTGGTTTAATAAAATCAATTTGTTGAGAAGAATTGAAAAAGTATGTGTGTATATACATACATACATATATGAGTAAATATGTAAATTTATTTTTAATTTTTTTTTTTTTAGATTGAAAGAGTTTGAGTGAAAATATTATAGGAAAAGACACAATATTTCAAAATAATATTTTTATTGTATTTAGATACACGTCTGTATGTTGTTTCTATTTTTTGCCTTAAAGAAAAATATGAAATTAAGTAAAAAAAAAATGTGTGAAAATTTTGTGATCTGGTCACCTTAATATTCAAACTGACATTTTCGACATGTTTCAAAGTTTTGGTTTAATAAAATCAGATTTTGGCTTGCTATGAATTTTCACTGTATTAGCGAAGAAATGAAAAGGTATGTATGCATGTATACACATACATACATATATGAGTAAATATGTAAATGCATATTAAAAATTGTACCAAAATGTATATAAAATTTTACTCGAATAGAAAACATTTTTTGCGAATAATAAAATGTGCGTTGGGTATAAAAAAATAGCGAACTTTTTTTTTATCTGTGTTAGTGCGTTTTTTTCTCCACACTCGATTTAGATACTCCAGCCGTGCACAATTTCGGCAATAAAATCATCAGTTAGTTTTTGGTAGCCGAAATTGGCAAAAAAAAAGAAGAAACAAAAAAATCTTCTGCTAACTTGATAAGATTGCACTTATGATGGCAATTCATTAATAAATTAATCGATTAACGCTTTGTTATACGCTAATAACTCTCTACCAATAGTTGTTGTTTTTTTTTTCGTTTCGCATAATTATGCGCACCTACAAACATAGCATGTGAATATTAGCCAACACTCGCGCATACATATACGTACATATCTACAAATGAGTGTCTAAATATCGTATATATATGTATGTAGGTAGTAGGTAAATGCTAGAAACTTTTTGTGTATCTAGTGTAGGTTTGGACTTATGACAACGCACGAGTTAGACCATTCTGCCTCTGCCGCTGCTGCGCGCGCACTTCTCCGTCGATAGACTTTTTTTTATGCTTGGAGACGTTTTTGATTTTTTGCTTAATATATTTGATTAATTTTTTTTTTTGCAAAAAATTCCGCTCACTCGTCCTTGACGTGTCTACCACCCGCGCATATTCATTTCCATTTACGTTTTCGTGTTAGAATTAAAATTTTTCCTCATACTCGTATAATTGGAAATTTACTCACCTTTTTTTTTGTTGCTGCACTTGAAGAAATTCTAAACTGCTTGCTACCAACAAATGTTTGTTATTAATTTGTTGGTATTTTTTGCACAAGTTTTACTTTAGAAAATCTTCACGCTGGCAAAGTGTTTTGTAAATTGTTTTTGTTTTGCTCTTTATTTACTATAAATTTCAAACTTCTTTTCACTTTTTGTTTATGTTGAAAATTTCTACTGCTTCTGATTCATCCACTCTGTTCAGTTGGCCAACTGTGTATCTCGCTGATTGTTAGCTCTCGCGCGATATTTATACTGTCTGTGGAGCTCGCTGTGAGCGTCTAATGGAAAATTTGAGATCGCTTATCAGCTGTACTTGCTTACCTGCTCATGATGTTGCCGAATGAGCGTGCCGTATGATAGCACGGTGAGCGAGCGCGAATTTCGCCGATCAGGATGCATGAGAAAGCGGTCGCGTGCTTGATGAAGAAGAGGAAGAAGCAGCTCAAATAGTCAGACGGTTGGTAATTAAGATAATCGAAAGCATTAATAATTTAAATCAAAACATGACTAATTATATTATAATATTATTATATTTAATCAGTCTGCGATCGTTGTAGACGTGTGTGTGTGTTATCAGTGCGTGCTGAGAGCCGATGGTCGTGGGTTCTAAACGAAAGCAGAAAAATATTTTTAAATACACTCAACTTCCGCGGGAGCATGCCAACAACTATAACATGAAAATATTAACACTTGCAATAAAAATTTAACAGTCAATTTAGTGACGCTTCGTAAATCGAGGCGGCTCCACTAGCGCCCACAGAAGCTCGGCCGAAAGTGATTAAAACGGTTATAAAGCGCAAATTATATTTATACAATAAAATAATCAGACATACAAGTGTAGGCGTGAAAGTGTCTAAAAGTGATTAAAATTTCTTGCCATTAATTTTATGTAAACATCTTAATCAATAATATTTTTGCGCAGAATGAAAACAAAAGTTGTAGCTAGCAAAAAAAAAAAAAAAACTGAAAACATAACCTAAAAGTTACAATATAGCGGGAAAAATATTAACAAAGACGGATTTAAAAAATATTTGGTTGAAGTATTAGATAAGACAAGCTCTTAGAGGACATTTGAAGGTCGCAAAACGGTTATTGTGTCTTACAGCGCACCATGTAGAACCGATTTTTTTCGCAACCCATCCACAACAATGGAAAATTTCCACAGATGCTGTTGAGTTTTTAAATTTTGTTATCGAATTTTTACTTGAGAATTCCTGAAATTCTTGAAAATTCATTGAGGTTATGTCATTCATTCTTCTAGTTAGCACGTGTGGCGGCTACAACGTACAATTCCGGTACCTCCTAATTTTGGGTGAACTCCAATCACTGTAACATGCGCCTAGGAAGTCGTGGGTAGTGTAAAAGATCTTTCCATTTTTTAGCTACGCGCTTCTTCTTTCTTAAGTGCGATCTCACTGTTATTAGAATTGTAACAACTCCTGATAAATTTGCTCCGACTGCCGTGAAGTGACCGTGACCTACACTTTTTAAAAGCCGCGATCATAGAAATTCCTTTGTAGCATTCAAGCATTCGCTAAGTTGGTTGGGTTGTTGTTTTTTTTCTCAGAACTATCCGAAATCAATCTGAGTTTGAGTTGTAGCACCGAGATATGAACGTTTTTGTAAAAATAAAAGTGAGATAAAATGAAGAAAATGGTTTTCAACCGAGGTCCCCTTTCAATTCGTAGTGGACCAAGCGTTTATTCTACGCCGTTTTCGAGCGGTTAATAAATTTTATCAGAAATATACGCGCAGAGGCTGACATTCCCTGCAGTGGAATAAGAAAAAAATTATTGTTTATTTGTAAGAAATTTTCCATAATTGTATTTGCTGGTCCGCAAGGGAGTACGCACAGTTAAGCTGTTGATAAAAAAGTCCACTGAGATGTAATAGTATGTGGTTGTGCTTTTGGGTCGCGGTAACCAACCTGTGCTGAGCTTCTGTCTTGAGGAAAGCGGCTCATTATGTAAATATGTCTTATTTCACCTATTATCTTGATGCTGGACTTGGGACCTGCACGTAGAGATCCGCTCTAATGAAAAAGAGAACAGCAATATCTAGGATAAGACTACCACTGCAAACGTTTTGAGGGCCACTATTTAAGGGCATGCACCTGGGATGTCCGTTCATGAATCGCGAACCTGACAAGGACGGAAACGAGTAGATCCTTGCGGCACATACATACTGTAGCGGCCATATGAAGGAGCGCAAATTTAGTGTTGAGAGACTTATTATGCACCTAGGCAGACGAGCGACACGACAAATTCTTCAACATATCGCTGATTGGCGGAAATGCTCCGATGAAAGAGAATTGAAAGAGAAGTACAATGTGACCAAAGATGCCTTTTAAGAGCGCCCGAAACTTACTATTGAGCGCTGCTTCCACCACAATGTCATAATTGTACTTGCCAACTGTTTTTGTTGTTGTTGTTGTTTCAGACGCAAAAATTTTCCTCAAAGTAGCTTTCGTGGGAGTGACAGTCCTTGGCCGAATAAAAATCCGGGTCCTTCTGGTATAAAGACTCGAATGTCGTGGAAGTTTTTGGGTTTTATCAACTTAAGCCCATGCCTTGCCGCGGAAAAAATCTTGCCAAGTGTAATGCCTAGGTGGGTAAAGAAGGTATCTGTGGCACAACTGTCGGGAAATTCAGACTGCCTAACGAGACTTCCTCAAATGGGTTTAGACGGTTCGACGTCGCTGAAGTCCGGTACATTGTTTGTGGTACCGGAATTCAACACGAGAAAAATGATTTTTGAAATTCATGTTGATCATCAGTGCTACAGATAGAGCAACAACAGCTCTATTGCTATCTTTGATTAGAAAATATTATTTTTTTTCTACAAATTTAACTAAATTTAGATTTATCAATGTTTCCTTACCAATGAATATAATTATTTTGATAAATATCGGATTCTAATGCCCTTAAGTATCCTGAATCATATCGTTTATCCTTACGGTAAAGCAAAATATGTAAATAAAACACATATATATATATATATATATATATATACATCTGTTTACAACAATAAATACTTTTTATTAAAAATAAATGCATTTGTTTTTTTAATTTTATTTGTACAATGCACTTAAATTCATCTAAATAGGGCTCGACATTGTAATAATACTTAAAATATGCATAAAATTAGCTAACGACATTTTTATTTCTATATCAAATATCAATTGAACTATTTTTTGAATCACATATTTTCAAACCACCCTCTAATAATAATAACAACGTGTGAATACATACATATATACTTGTTTTCGTATAAATATGTATATGTATTCAAAGCGCCAGCGCACGTTTGACTTTTAAAACTAAGCTTTCATTTGTTGTCATTTCTTTTTGCTGTTGTTGTAAAATCTTCTGTGTTGCTACATCTTCAACTTGTGCTTCTTCGTGCAGATTTTTCGTATGTATGCAGGCTAAAAATGTCGTCCACACCAAACTACAGACACTAACAAATACTATGCGATTCTTCTCTGGTACCATTGAGAAATTTATTGTCTGAATAATTGGCCAAACGCAAATGCCAACCTGTGGGCGAAAAGAGATAACAGTATTTAATATGTTAATTGTATTAAACACATCACGTATTTACGCACTTCGAAAGCTTTTGGAAACTTTTTCTTCACTTCCTGTACAGCCTCCTCGAAGCTACGACCTTCCAGCAGGGTCATAAAGAAAAAAAAGCTGGTAACAGCAAATGGGCCATATGAGATCTGTTCGACTAGAGCCTGAAGATGATGGTTTATAGAATTAAAAAAAAAGAATAAATTATTAAGTAAATTCAAAATGTGCCGAATAAAAGTAAAAGGAATACACACCTTCATTACGCCGACTCTTAAATTCATTTGAGGCCACATAGCGGAGGTGAGTCGCACCCAACCATGTAATGTCGGCGCCACGTACATGGAGCCGAAAACACAATAACGCAAACAACTCATCCAGTCATATGTTTCTAGGGGTAAAAAATTCAATTATTTAATTTTACTTAATGAAAGATTTCAAATAACTTTTGACTAATTGTTGTATTTGTATTACGCTTGTTTTACTTTTAACTTACTCAAATTTTTGCCCTCCATCGTTTGTTGAATTAGACAGCCTGTTGGCCATAGCACAGCATAAGATATCATACCTTTCGCCAATGGGTGAGCGTTCGCAAATGTGCGCCATTGCGATTTTAGAAAATTTAGTGTTAAGGGTACAACCATTTTTTGTGGTGTGAACTGGAAAAAATAAAAATAACATTGTTTGCTTTCGTTTTGAAGATTATTACTTGACCTCTTAATTACGAACTATTACATTTGAAGATAAAAGTCATTACTTATAAATAAATAAACTAAAAATAAATATATAATCTAAATAGATAAAAGTAAAATAAAAATAAAGCAAAATTAAATAATAAATAAAATAAAATAAAATAGAATAAAATAAAATAAAAAAAAAATAAAATAAAATAAAATAAAATAATATAAAATAAAATAAAATTAAATGGAATAAAATAATATAAAATAAAGTAAAATAAAATAAAATAAAATAAACTAAAATAAAATAAAATAAAATAAAATAAAATAAAATAAATAAAATAAAATGAAATAAATTAAAATAAAATAAATGATAATAAATTAAAGAAATAAAGTAAATTAAAACGAAAAAAAAAAACAATAAATCAATATAAAAGAAAATAAATGAAAGTGAAGGAAAAAATTACATTAAAATAATTTCTTTATAACAATGAGCAGAAAAGGAAATAAGAAAAAATATCTCACAACATAAGTATTGAGCAGTTGCCGTATGCGCCTAAAAATAGGCAATTCAGCTTAGAAGCATAAGTTAAATAATTTTAAAGCAAGAAATCGATGGAATTCATTCAAAATCATTACTTTCAATAATTTACGTATGTATATATTTATGTTTAGGTTTGTGTTTTCTTTACTCTACTTATTTATTTATAATTTTCTGTTAGAGCAGTAATTTTATACTATTATTATATTATCTTTAATAAGCAGCAATTGCATTAAATTTGTTTTTTTTTTATTTGCCGTGTCTAGCTTCGCATGTCAAATTGCTTTTACAGGTAATGTAGTAAAATTGTTGAAAGCACAAAATACACAGAACTTAGTAACTGATTTTAAGATTAACATTCATATATACATATTTATATACATGCATATGTACATACACGTATGCATGAATGTGTATATATGAGTAATAATATCTGTTATTAAATCGAAATATAAAACTAAACGTTTCTGTAGAAGAAAACTCGGTTGATAAAAAATGTCAAATGTTCATAAATATTTCAATATTACAATTCTCTACCGGGTAAAAACGGAAATTAATTAGATTTAAAGCTTATATTAATACATATATATGCACAAATAAAAACCTCACATAAAAAAAGTGCATCCGAGTTTTAGAAAGACGTGTAAGTGTGTATGTTTGTATATTTTTGTGTACATAAACGTAAATAACAAAAATCAAATGTGAGAGAGTAGCCGACGCATTAGCGAGAGACATTGAACTTGACCATCAGAAGCTTTTACGCACATACTTGCATACATACATAACTTTATGTGCATAGAAAGTAAACAAATCTAAAACAAAGCAAGGGTGCATTTAACAAGCAGGAGATCATGGTCGTTTGAAATTGATTTTTTTTTATATTTATATGTATTTATATACATACATAAGTATTCTTAAGAGAGTTAACTTCATTCTACAAGAGATATCCCGCCAATTTTGACACTTTTCAATGTTTGAGGAAACATGATGAGTGAATGTGGATGTGTGTTCCATATATGTGTACATAATAAGTATGCACATATGCATGCTAAGCACATTTAAATATGTTAATGTAGTCCCTTAGTGTATTTGGACTTTAAACATGCTTGTTGCTAAGGTTTCGGTCTATTTATCATAAACTTACTTACTTACATATGTTTGTATGTACGTATATATATCAAAATTTATGATAGCCATAATAAATGTCAAAATCAAACATTAATCTCAACTTTTTTACTTCGAATTATACAAATCTATGTATTTAATCAGCGATGGCGCCATTCAGATAACCTATAAAAATCTGCATACATACTTATATATGTAGTTGATTTTATGGCTTCCAAAAATGAATGTACATATGCACATATGCGCGCAAAATCTCAACATTAATGGGATTTCCATACCACATTACAATTTCACAGCGTTTTTTTTTCATAAGAAGCAAACCGATTTCATAATAAACTATTAAATTGTAAGGGAATCACAATTAAATTCATTGCTTTCTGCGAAAATTTATTTTAAAAGTACACAAGAACTATTTTAAGCTCATTTCATAATGTTATATGTAGAACGCATAAGTAGTAGAAGCAAGTAAATCAGCTGTTTTACATAATATTCGCGTGACAAAAGACGCTCCCACACACAATATAACACACACAAAATCCACCGACAGTTGCTGACGAGCAGCGCACACACACCACGCACCTAGCTGACGTACACAAGTAAATATATTTGTATGTACAAATGTACAAGCAGATAATCAATCGTCATTTTCGCGTCATAGCCTTAGCGTTTAATAGGGAAACAGACATTGCAAGCCACACAAAAATTAGTAATTTAATCACCATTTCCAACAGACAACACCACAAACATATAAAAATGGCATGCAAAACGTATATATACTATTTTCAAGAATTCTAGAAGAAATCAAACAACTCCTTTTCTTACATTTATTGTGTACTTCGCGAATGAGGTATACGCAGAAATTCTGAATTGAAAATTTTTCCACTTGCACGAATGTGTGTATTTACTCGTTATAAATCAATTAAACATTGCACTGTAAATTTATTTGTTTATAAACGGAAATTAATATTATTTAAACTTTATCAAAATCGTCTGGCACATGTCAGCCACAACCACTCAGCTCCCACGTTCGTTATATACTGTGAAAATTATGCTCACTGAAGTGCACGTTTTAGCAAAAGTTTTGCGTTTATTCATCAATGAAAAATATGGGAGAATATTAATGTTCTTTGCGCGTGTACGTATGTACAAATGTATGTGTTTCAAAAAGTTTCTTATAAAAGCGTTCTCATTTGTTTGCGAAAGCTTAATGCAATATACTCACAAACATAGATACCAAATTGTAGGTATGCAAAGTATTATATGTACATATTTGGTTATAAAATAATAATAATTTTTCCTTGCTTATATGCAATTGCAGACATTTAAAAATCTAAACTTGCATTGCATAAATACTCTCAAAATCCTTACCGGATAAGCTCGTGAGTTTCCTGTTTTAAATTAAACTTCCTGCTAATATCATTTTCATTAAAAAAATATTGCGCAATAAATTTGTAAAGCAAATTCAATAAAACAAACTTTATACTTTGGCAGCCATAGTGATCAACTAGAGCGAACAGTTTGACACGCACTGCATTATTGAAAATGGAGGTTAGTCGCACGCACCCGAAATAAGCATTTCCGCGTAGAAGAATTTTTATTTCCGTGAAAAATAGTTAAACGCGTTTTGTGTGTGTGTTTAAAACAACAAATATATGTGAATAAGGCTAATAACTATGTATATGAAATTATTTTTTTGCTTTTATATTCTTTGCATTCAGAATTGAATCGAATTGTTGCTTAAAGATGAAATTCTGATATTCCTTCGCTGCCTCTGAGCAGACTAGTGGCTTCTGCGGATTATCCACGTAACATTTGACTAATTTGTGCTCCAATTTCTTCAGCCCTTCGCTATGTTTATCTGCAAAGCGTATTTGTTTACCCAGCATTGCTTCCAATTTCTCCAGCGTTTTAATATATTGCGTCTCTTGCAATTCATTCGATTTCATTGCTAGCAAACTGGCTTCCTTATCTTTGCCCTTGAAAAAGCCGCAAGTGCAGCAGCGCGCACAATGTATTTCCTCAACATTTTTTGTTGGTTTCGGTATTGCTAAGTCGGCGATTTGTTGCTTTGCACCTTCCAAGCGTGCAATAACGTCCGGCGTCACGTGTATGGCGGTTGCGGCACGCACGGGATTTATAATGTGCGCTGTTTGTGGTGTTGAGTTGCTAGCGCCCATCGGTAAGTTGAAATTTCGGAAATTATTCAATTTTATAATATATTTTTTTTATTCTTGTATTGTACTGCTTTTATTTAGATTTTTCTATCTCAGAATGTTACTTTTGCTAAAGCACTACCGTCAAAAATTTTTGGCACATAAACGCTGCGTGTACTGAGGGAAATTTTCGTGTGTGATCTTTCGTACAGAGGTTAGCTCTAGAGTTCTTAAATATTTCCCAAAATCTCTCCCCTCCCTTGTCAAGGGGGAAATTTACTTTGTTGTTGTAGAAGAGGTTGCAGGAAGAGAGTCAGCTTGTCCGAAACCTGTTTGGCACCAAAGCTTCTCGAAGTCCCTGAAGATAGGTTTTATCCTCTTACACAGTAACTAGCCCAGATTGTGGAGCATCGGTCGCTAGAAGACTGCATTGCGGTTGATCTCAACTTTTCTATTTTATCTTTCCACAGCAGTCGGACTGTCTTCATTGTCACAGCTCTTATTTATTCCGTGTGTAGGAAGCTTGATATGCCGTTCCAGAGTGATATCAGTGAACCGAAGTGCAAGTCAAACAGGAAACAAGTTTTCACTGCGTTTTTTGATTGCATCTTTTCGATGCACAACTATCCTTTTTTGTTGATAGGCGATCTGTGCTGTTACAAGATAGCAGCTGCGGTCTATCCTATATGCTCGAAGCTTACGAAAATATACAACATTGGGTGCATCCAGTCAAATGTCATTTGTCATATCGGAATTTGGTAGGAGAGATAACGTTTTTTTTAAGGTACTAACGAAGTCGATTAGCCTCAGCCCTTTAAAAGATGTTTCTTTGTCCCTCCTGGCGGCGGCTGCACTCATAGCCACCCTTGAGGCGCTAATGCTCACAGAAGCAATCTTTGGACACTTCGTCCTTACCTGTTGTAGAAAATCAGTATATCGCACTTTACTGAGGATTCTGCCAAAATAGTAAAACTTAGTGGCGGAGTATAATTCTTCAACAAATCCAATACCAAATTTGGCGTTACGACGGGTTAAAGCAAATGATGCGCGGCACCTTTAAAATTAAAGCACCGGACATGCCGGGAGCAGGGCTTTAGTCTTCATCAATTCTGAAATTGGCGTATTGTCAAATTGGACATTGAAACTGAATTTTATGTATTACGGTCTAACGTGAAACCTCGCTTCTCGAGGAAGTTTAATTAAGACACATTTATATGGCTTTTTAAGATTGAGGCCTGCTCACAGTCGCAGCTCTGGTGAACAGACTTTACCAAACGAGCTGAAGTCTTTTTAAAACATGTTGGAGGGATATTCGTAAATTGATCCAACGTACCACACGGGTTGGTCATCACATCTCACACAAAAACTTGCTCACGATTCCAGGATACGCGACTAGGACGCATGGGTGAGAATAACTCTAAGAGGTTTCTACAAAACATATCGCGACACGCACACACACAGTATTATTCGCCTGCTGGGGCGTCATGGATCAAAAAATTATATTACCTGCCAAAGAAATCCGCCAGAAACGTCCGGATTTGTGAAAGTGCAATAGCTGGTTTTTGATTTTTTTTTTACTTTTGTTGTTTGTGAGCGACTATTTGCCCAAAACAATATAATATTTGCGGCCGCGGTAGTCAAGTGGTGAGCGTTGCGTACTGTCATTCGGTAGGTAAGGGTTGGAGTTCAGGTACAATCATCTAAAAGCCGTTCCTCGGCAGGGAACGTCAAGCCCTCCAATTTATAAGCCGTTCGGAAGCGGTTTAGAATAAAGTGTAGGTCCTTAAATCTGTTAGAAAAACATCAAGACGCACACCATAAATTGGAGGAGGAGCTCTGCCGAAACTCGCGGTTACAAACCGCTAATTAAAAATTTGTATAGTAGCCAGACCTGACCACCTGTGACTTCCTCTTGTTCCCATAGCTGCTGAAGCCTCTGAAAGCACTACTAATGAACAACTCTAAACTCGCAAAACCTTTTTCACCGTCAAATAATAAAAATTAGTCACCAAAATGGCCAACTCACCAAATGCTCTGAATGCCGGCATATCAAATACAACAAGCAGCAAATTTATTTTGTTTACATTCTCTCATTTCATGTCGAACCTTTTTATTTTACGCTGAGCAACATGTTCGATCACACATGTTGGAAGCGTAAAAAATATTCGGTAGAAGAAAGAGATTCAATATTCCAGTTCTTCAGTCTTCTTTAGTCGTACAATCGAATTGTGTCTGTTGTGTCTGCTGTGTCTGTCGTGTTGTGGTGCGCGTACGCGTCGTTTTTACATGAGAAATTGAAAAACAAAAAACATTTTAAAAATACAAATAAATAGTTTAATATAGTGTGTTTTTAAAATGCGTTGCCACACAACGAAATTGGAAAAAATAGCGGAATGATTTTCCAATTGGTTTCTGCATTTCATACAGAAATTGCCCTTTTCAATGTTGAATGAAAATTGTGCTAATTAATTATGTAAATAAATGCATTAAATACGAGCGAATTACGGAAATCTTAATACAATTAAATACGAATTAAATTAAAAAAATATGTTTTTCAAATATTGAGTAATACCTGTATGTTAATTACCAAGCACAGTGTTTGAAATAAAGCGCTAGCTGACATAGATTACAGTAAATTAAGTCAGAAATAAAAATACACAGGTGTAAGCGCAATTGTAATCGTGTGCGTAGATAAGTGTGTGTGTGTCTCGTTTTTTTTTTGTTATTATACAACAAGTGGTAAAGAAATATTTTATTTAGCGGTGTTTCTTATAAGTATACTCATACGAATATATAATAAATATTTTTTGTTTACAAGTGCGGCAATACATACATACATTTTTACGTTCTTTTTTATGTGAACGAAGTGAAAATACGAATAGATTATCAATGTCGACACCGATAAGAATTCAATAGTAATACTAAATAGTGTGCATACAGTGGAAACTATACACATTGATACATGCATACATATTTATACTTATGGCTGTGTGATATCATGGAAATATATTAGTGCACGAATAAATACAAAGCTTGTTAATTTATAAAACATTATCTATTTGCTGGTATTTGTTTTCTTTTGCCTGCATCGAAGTCTATCTGCATTAAATGTTTGCCAGTGTGTACGTATTTCATGCGCGCTTACCTATCAGCGGCATCGCAGAGACTGATAAGAAGCGTCGAACTCATGCTTTGCTAATTAAATTTTTGTATCTAAAATAAATACGGAATGAACAGAGAAAATGAATTTAGCCGGTGATGGCAGGAATGAAAGACAATTAATTAAATAAAAAAACAAAATTAGAAGTTAAATATCCACAAAAAATTGAAATTGAATTGAACTAAACCAAGCCATAATAAACAAAATATATTAAAAAAATTAAATAAATTAAAATTAAAAAAAAATCAATAAGAAAAATATATAAAAAATAAAATAAAATAAAATAAAGTTAATTAAAAAAATAAAATAAAACCAAATGAGGAAAAAGAAATTTAAATTTCTAAAAATTGTGAAAAAAAATTAAATTAATAAAACCAAAACCGATTTCGTTTTAATCAATCCAAACAAAATAAAATAATAATTAAAATAATATAGCAAACATAATAAAATACAAAATGAAATTAAATTAAAATTAAAAAGAAAAAAATACAAACTGAATTAAATTCTGTTTGCGAAATTCTAGAAAAATTAAATAAAAATATAAAAAAATGAAACAAAATACAAATAAAAATAATAAATTAAAATTAAATACCAATAATTAAAGTTGAATAAATTAAGCTTGCCTAAAAAAGTCCAAATAAAATAAAATAGCCAAAAAAAAACGAAATATAAATAAATAATAAAGTAAAATAAAAATAATATAACATATTGTAATAAAATAAATATAAATAAAATAAAACAAAATAATAATACAATTGAATAGTATAAATTGATTTAGAAAAATTAAAAATAAAATAAAATGAAAACTGAATTAAATTCTGTTTGCCAAATTCTAGAAAATTTAAATAAAAAAATCAAATGTATAAAATTAAGCAAAAAATATATATAAATAGTAAACAAATTTTAAATGCAAATAATTAAATTTGAGTAAAATAAACTTGCTTAAATAAAGCCAAATTAAATTAAATAAAATAACTAAAAAACTTAAAATAAAATGAATTAATAGAAGATAAAATAACCAAGAAACAAAAATAAAAAAAATTAAAATTAAATAAAATGAAGTAAAGTATAATCATATATAACATAATAATACATAAAAAATATAAAATAGTATATTATAATATAATAAAATCAGGCAAAATAAAAACATAATAAAATTAAATAGTACAAATTAAGATATAAAAATGAAAATGAAAAATAAAATAAAAACTGAATTAAATTCTATTTGCCGAATTCTAGAAGAATTAAATAAAAAAATCAAATGTTTAAAATTAAACAAAATACAATATATATATGTATATATAAAAATTATACACAAATAATAAAAATTGTACAAAATTGTATAAAATAAAGCAAAATTAAATTAAATAACAAAAAAAAAAAAATTAATAAAAAGACAACAACCACAGAAACAAAATATAAATAAATAAAATAAAATAAAATATATTATAGTAAATTAATATAAAGTTAAATATAATATAATATAAAAATTACAATGAAGTAAAATTAAATAAACATAAAATAATATAATACAAAAATTAAAATAAAATAAAATAAAGTGAAGAAAAACAAAAAACTTAAAAAATAAAATAAAATATAATATAATATAAAATAATAAATTCAAATAAAACAAAATCAGAAACAAAAAAAAAATTTAAAAAAATAATAGAAATTTTTTTTGTATTTATATTTCTTGAAAAGGAAGAAAATAAAAACAGTACAACCTTTCAAGTAACAAAGCAAATCAGAATAAATAGCATAACAAGTCAAACATTCGTGTATAAGAGTGAGTGCTAAACTACCTGTTGCTTAGCTATGCATACATATTCATATACACCTTTTGCCAAGGTTAACTGTTCAGCATTGCTGCACATCCAAAGTCACATAGTACATATGCATGTATGTATGTACATATACGAGTGGTATTATTGTAGTTGTATTAGTGCGTTATGGCTAAATTGGCCAGTGCATGCAAGTGTATTTGGGCACGT